TCCCCCCCCCCCCCGTTGCGGGAAGAGCCGCGTATTGTTTGAAAAGATCGCAGTCTACGGTGCGACGATCCCGCGAGTCTTATCGCGAGATATCGCTGGATCGACGTGGAAAAAAGAAATACGCGACCGAAAAGTATCGTCGCCTGGCATCGACGTTCTCTCGCGTAGGAGGAAACGTCCGCGAGAGCGTGAGACACGCGTCGCGTTAGATATCGCTATTCTGTTGCGCGATACGAATGCGAACGCTCCTGCGCTCGTTTCCTAGCTCGTTAACGAGCCAATTTACGCGTAATTACTTTACTTGCGTTATATAACGCGCGTGCCGTTTTATGTCGATCGCTCGAACGCATTCGCATACGTGGAAAGCGGTTATCGACCGCGCATTCGTTCGAAAGATCCATCACTGTATCGATCTATCGATACCTCGCGCTGCTTCTTTAAAAATGTATCGTATTATTCGTTGAAATTTGTGAGGGACCGCATTGTATATTCGTTATTTAAGTAGACATATATCGCATTCGCATACGTAGAAAGTAGTATCGACCGCGTTCGTTTGAAAGATCCATCACTTTATCGATGTATCGATACCTCGTGCTGCTTCTTTAAGAATGTATCGTATTATTTGTTGAAAACTGTGACGAAAACTGTACGCGCGGTTCCAGCTACGCTTGTACTTGGCGCGAGACACCACCGTGTCTCGTGATTATAGCAAAATTTGGAATATTAAATCGCCAGTGATTAATTAACAATTAGGTCGAATAATCCGACACAACTGGCCGCTATATTATTCAACCTAATTGTTGGATGTATTATCAGTTAAGCCAACGGCACACGATGCTATTTTTTCGACTGGATCGCTCACGAGAGCCAATCGTCGTAGGAAAAATAGTATCCTGTGCCCCGTTGGCTTTAGTTAATTCTGAGCTAACTAAAATTAGACAATTGATCGATTACATTTGTAGACTGGACATATTTTTGAACAATAAAGTTGTACTGCCACTGCAAGCGCATTAATTCCGCGCGTTGATTTCGGCGGAAAACGAGCGGGGAGAAAGTAGACAGACTAATTGTCTAACTTTAGCCAATGCAGTATTAATTAATTGCATTATTGAATGAACGAATCGATATACGCTCCCTGCCCAACAAAGTACGAAACGTTACTGCGGGCGTATTAATTCAGCATATTGATCCCGGCAAGGGCGAGTGAGGAAGGGACAATTTGCAGAGGTGGGTGATTTTCGTGTAACAAATAGGTGTTTATTTTAGGCGACTTTCGGCGACTGTTCGTCGTACTTTAACACGTTTTTAAGTCGTCTTTTAGACATACGTAATCTGAAAGGCGAGTTAAAAACGTTTTATAGATGTCTTTTAGCTAATTGACATGCGCGTTGTTTGGGATACAGCGGTCATGAATGCCTTTACACCTGAAGAATAGGAAAATTTATTTTACACTTTGGCACGTGTGCCGGACAATCGCCAAAAATCGCCTACTAAGGCCCGGTTTTACCAAGCGTCGCTTAACTTTAATCTTGGTTTAAATCATGTTTGTCTCGTTCTAGAGTAACAGTTGGAAAGAGACGAAGAACGAATTAAGCTAAGCTTAAAGTTCCGCGACGTTGGTGAAACCGAGCCTAAGACTCAGTTTCACCAAACGTCGCTTAACTTTAATCTTACAAGTTTAATTCACGTTTGTCTCGTTCTAGAGTAACAGTTGGAAAGAGACGAAGAACGAATTAAGCTAAGCTTAAAGTTAAGCGACGTTGGCGAAGCCGAGCCTAGGTGAGTCTATGTGCGATAAACAATCGAGTAAATAGAAAATGTGCCAATATACGCGGTCGATATACACCATAAATATTTTTACGCCAAGTTACGATCGCCGTACGGCAGCGAAGGGCGTCCCCCTCCCCGAATGACGTAAAATTGTCGCTGGGCGGCCGCGTCGGCGAAGCAAACGCTGCATAACACTGCAGAATATCCTTGAAATAGAACGTGGCCCGATCGATTATTTTATTTCGATAAAGGTCGCGGTTTTCCATCGCGCCTTTCACTCCATTTCGACTGTCCTTTCGATCGCGTTTACGCCAAGTCGAGCGGGGATTATTCCGCGTTTCCCGGCTTTACTTTCATCAGCTCGGCTGATGTCGAAACCGTCGAGCGTTACGATCGATTTACGTAATGAGGCTCCTAGGCTGAAGCGCTCTTTGCATTTGCATGGCAGACTTGAAAAGTTCTGTACTACGGGCAGAGCCGATTTTGTGGCCCTTGTGCTGTGATTTTTCAGAGGCCCCTCGTTTTCCTCGCCAGCTTGGACGACCAGAAATAATAATTGATCCATCGAATGCCTTTACACCTGAACAAAGACGCTAAAGATATCCAATAGGAAAATTAATTTTAATAAAATGAATTTTTCTATCGGAACATATTGAATTTAACGGCTATTTTCAGGTGTAAAAGCACTCGTGACGCCGAGTGTACAATAAAACAGTCCCCAGAATAAGAAAAAAAATTTTTTCTTATATTTATTATTGTAATACCAATTTTATCAACGAAAAATACATTTTTCAAATTTTTCCTATACTGATTGTGAGCCGAGGAGGCCCCTAATGTGAGCCCTTAAGCTGCAGCTTATCTTAACTTATTATGGCCCGTACTTTGAATCCTCTTTGACCGATAAAAGCGCCTCTAAAAGTGGCTTGTAGCCAATCAGAAGGCCACTTATTAGCCACTTATTAACCACCATGGTGGAAGTATACAAGGTGACCCATTCCCGTGGATGCGCAGTAGCCTACAAGTAGTGGGGACGATCCGTCCAATAAGAGCCGTGCTTTTTTGCGGATACCTCTTTAAGATTAGGTTGGGTTATGATTTGTTTGACCGTTCAAACTGCCGCCACGCAAAAAAGCACGTCGTTTATTGGCTGGAAGGAATGCTACCCCCTCTCATCATGCGCAATGGTTCACCTTGTATACTTCCACCATGATTAACCACTTTTAGAGGCGCTTTTATCGATAAAAGAGGTTTCAGAATGCCTGTGTGTAGACTCGGCACTGACTACAATAAACAAATTCGGAATTTTCTTCGTTTCTCTGTAAAATGCGAAAAGATCTACGACCATCAATAGAGACCTGCAAAATGAAATCAAAATAAAGTCGAATTAGAGGCTTATAAAGAAGTCAAACGAATTCAAACGAATTCGTTCGATCGAAGTTCGTGTACAAAGTATAACTATGATTTTTCAATGTAACTTCCATGCTGTTTAGCTGAAAACCTTTTACTTTGAAAAGTGTGCGAAATTATTTGAATCTCTTGTTACAATGACGGATTCACTGTGTTTTATGATTGCATGCGTGACTTTTAAATTTATATAGGAAGTTTGACCAAATATTTTACAATTTTACACAATCTTTTTGTTTATTGAGTTCTAAGAAATTATCCAATTCGCTTATCGTATAAAACTGACAACCTACGATGATCTCCCCTTGTTACTTTAATCTGCGATTCCTTAATTATTAATGCATTCATAAAATTGCATAATAATATAATATACGTCCGCTATATGTCTTTTGATTATTATTTAAAGAAATTAATTTTTGTATATCTTGTGAGAGCGCACAATCGAGATGCGTTCTTTGTAAAATTGTGAAATTCGCGCGCACAATCCCTCTGAAATTATTTTACGTAATCCTGTTATTCATTGTATAAGGCGTACCGCGAAATTACGGTCCCGTATCCGGCTCCCGTGGCTACCGCAAGGACGAGGTACACGTGGAGTTAACAACTGGTACGACACCCGACAATTGTGCGAATGACTTGGCGTTCTTGTGTCCGAGCTGTTGTGGCTATCCGTGAAAAGCATGCGTCTCAAAATTCGTCCGCAATTTCTTGTATTTATTTAATTATCATAGATTATTTACTTTCTATAATCCATTAGCAAAGTGAAATTTTATTTTGCTATATAGAAAAATTTAATTAAAAAGAGATTTAGAGGAAAGTCCTCTATTATGAGATAGATAGCAGGTCATTTCAGCTTCCAAATTTAATCACAACGATTTCACGATCTCACAATGAATTTTCCATTAAACAGATTTTATTCCAAGGGCAATAAATTAACGATAAAACCGCAAGATGATTAAGTTCATTCCTTGGCGGAGAACTCTACGCCCAGTTACAAATTTTCTAAAGTTTTTAATTTTTCAAAGTCCCTTGTCTAAAGCAAATTTAGATTAAGTATAGAACTCCACGAGAGGGGAACGAATTTGTGAGTCGTCCAGAACTCGCGGATAATGTCGCGTCGAAGAACCAAGGGACAACTGGTTTCGATAGACACCTGACCTAGGTTCAGCGCACGGTAGCGCCTCGTTCAATCGATATGTCCTCGACCTCGGTTAACACCGCCCTTTCCTGTTTGCCGAAGGATTTATATCGCGACGACAGGCGTCTGGAAGAGTTTACTTGCTGAGATAAGCACGACGATGCGTCGCTGACTGACATTGTTTTCTTGTGAGATAAGACCTTAGGCAAGATTAGGTGGAATTTTCAGAGATGCGGTCGTACACGGACAAATACTATTGCTGCACGCATTTTGGCTGAGAAAGAAAACTGGAGATTGCGCGTTGCGAATGAATTAGCTCAATCTTGATATAGAGGAAAGTTCCCTATTATGTGATAGACTCCTAATATGAGATTGCGGGGTTCCTGTTAAACTAATAGGCATCTGCTGATTCCACCATAGATTTATTACTCTTGGAGTGAAATCTGTTTAGTGGAAAATTCATTGTTAGATCGTGTAATCGTTGCGAAAAGAGATTTGTGATTGAATTGGGGTGTTGAAAACCTGCTATCTCATATTAGAAACCTATCTCATAATAGAGGACTTTCCTCTACGCACGCAATATGTCCACACAAATTTACACGATACCATCTCTGAATGAACATACTTGAAACACAGTAAAATATCTAATTATACCTCGCATAAATCCCGGATGAATGAAGTTTACGCGCGTTTTACTACCGTGAACTCTCGTTTCAAAATGTTACATCTTCAAACTCTTAATTCCTCGAGCAATGAACAGGTATGTCTTTTTTTTCATGGTAAATGATAGCCGTCGCGGCGCCAAGATAAACGGAATGGACAAAATGGCCCGTTGCGGCAACGAAGAATCTTCTCTGCAGTCCCCGCAACCGGTGCACCCGGGTCAGTCAACTCACGCTGCCGCGATCATCACCTTGACGCCTACCGAGACGCCGATCCTGGCAACGTGTGCCGTCACGGCGACTGACAAGGTCACTGCCACTACTACCAGTTCTACCCACGTGCCAGGTGCCAGATCACCTGATAGCCCTAGTAAGTAGGATGGACAATCCTTCCCGCAGATTACGTTTGCATTAATTGGCAACCGACTATTAATTATTGGACTACTAGATAATTGGAGTAATCTTGCTGGAAACAATTGGAAGATCACTGTTTGATAGACTCGATAGAGATATGAATATTTCCTTTTGCTTCTACGTAATCTGGATGCTTGCCAAATGTGTAAACCGAGGTGTAAACCCAATATTTTTGCTTTACCTACCTTGCCGGAAATAATTCTACAAAATTCTACAAAAAAAACATAAAATATACTGCCAGAATCTAAGAAATTCTACGTAAATTTAAAGTGTTATAAAAATCAACGTAAAAATGCTAGAATTGGAACGCTTTTGTTCATTTTTGTAATGTTCTGCAGGTAAGCAGATGTTTTAATTCTTTAAGATTTTGTTGCTTCTCAAATTTTTAAAAGTAGTAAAGTTTTGTACTAATTTTTACAAAATTGTACATTTTCTTGAAATACTACTTGCAATAATTTCTTGATTTGAGAACGTTGTAATTTGTGGTACTATTTCGTAGATATTTTTACAAAAGAATAAATGTTTCGACGAGATATAAAAATTTGTACAAATTTCTATTTCAAGTCGATTTTTTTGTAGTTACTTATAGAAATTTTTTTCCGCTAGCGTACGCTGTGACATTTTATTTGCAGAATCGTTCGAAAAAGTAACGCTTAAAGAAGGAAAATAAGGACCCAGCTCCGAAATACCCTTGATCTCAACGTATATTATCAAGATCACCCTCTTGAGTAACTAAGGTTTTAGCCGTCACTCTTTATTAAAAAGTTATTAACAAAAGAAGTTTTATGAAGTGGGACACGTTTTTAAACACGACTCTTTAATGTAAATGGTGCCTGAAAATTAAGTTTTATAAGTGTGGAACCTAAGAAAACATTCCACTTATAAAAGTTAATTCCCTCAGGCACCATTTGCATAAAAAGTCGTGTTTAAAACCGTGTTATACACGGCGCTACATAGAAATATTGAGGAGCCAACACCTATCTTTCGAGCAAAATTATTTCTATCGTACGGTTTTCCACATTTCGACTTTCCACGCGAAACGAGACTCGTACGAAGAAATTTATATTTCCACATGTTTGAACTGTGACTGCGATTAAGAATTTACCATCGGTGGTATACAATCAAGATGAATAAATAAGATCTTTTTTAGAATTGAAAAACTGTAGAAGTTTTGAGATCTCACAATATTAGTTAAAATTGGCGGACATTGAAAGTTGCTGAAACTTTAATCGCGACTATCGCAAAGTACTTGGCGAACAGACGAAAGTTCGGAAGACATAATCAATACGTGTGTAGTTCCTATTAATTCATTGCTGAAAGTGGTTTGTTCCACATTCGTTGGAAACAGATTCATAATTGCAAAAGGAGATCGACTTCGGAGGATCACACCGATTTCTCCAAGAAGCTTTTAGAGAATAAGTGCCAGATTATCCTCGAAACTTTTATTTTTCCTTAAAAAGCGGACGCGCAGACCCTTCTCTATAGCCGCTCTCAATCACGATTCCATCTCCCGCTGCTCAATTATTAACCGGAATATATCATGAGCAGCTACCACCTCGCCGCCGTCTCCGTTGGACTCCCGTATACCGAGGCCATCGCCGTCGGCTCTGCGTCGCGCCGAGAGCTTGCGCTTGCGCGGCGAACGTCTACCACCACATCATCCGCGAGCCACCACCGCCGTCGCAGCCAGCACGGCCCTGGTCGGCCGCCAACACCATCCCCGTCGTCACAACCACCTTCTGCCGTCGCCGCAGCTGCATCAACATCCGGACCATCGTATCTTCCCGGTCATCACGGAGAATGGAACCGACTCGCCGCGACAACGATCCTTCGTGAGTGACCCCCTGAACTCGTCTCCTCCCCGAAAACTTGTCTCCCAAGTCCGGAGGAAAGCCCGTTCATGTCGCTACGCGCTACGTGGACGAGCTTGCTTCGACTTTCCAAGTATCGACTGCTCGACGAGAAGCTCTGGCGGCGAATACGATCGCTTCGTGTCTCTCGTATCCGCAGAAGAGAAAGCTGGAAAGACATCGCAAACGGCGTAGCTCTGCAATCCCGGGATTGCATTAAAGATTGAACGGTTTAAAATTGTAGGACGTACCGCACCGCGCGCGCTTTGCTCATTGCACCGGTATTAGACACGCAGAATGTTCTGCACGAACCCTCGGTGTTCGTTCTTTTGTATTTCCCTTGTATTCTTTCACGCAACGACAAGCGTATTGAGAGCACTGAAGTGCGGTCTACTGCCGCTCGTGTCTTCCAAGATCCGCTAGAGTCCTCGGCAAGAACTATAGAAAAAATTGATCTCCGGCTTTCGCGTGTGGCGTATGTCAGAATCTTGATATGGAGACCTTTACCTTTACTCTGTGCTAACCGTGGCTTCGGGACGGCGCTCAAAGTTCCGTTGATTAACGGCCGATTCGCATGTTAGGCCACGGTAGTCGGCTTGCTCGCCTTTGCGTGACTGGACAGGTGTACCCTAGATGAGTGTCATTATTCCAAGTGTAAATATAAGAAATCGTCCAACAGGTAGGCAACTCGTTATAAATCCACCCACGTATCGATTTCCACGAGCTGTCATGCATAAGCCGTGCCTTGCCTCATTTTTTTTCCAAGCCTAAGTACTTGGACATTTTGGAGACAATCAAGAAACGTTAGTGAAATAGTTAGCTACTTTTGGCTAATTCTCGTAAGAATTTTCAAGATAATTGAGAAGCAGTAACGAAATAGCTATTTTTCTTTTTAATCTGTTCGAAGGTTCGGAAATTTTGGAGACAATCGAAAAATATTTACGAAATGATCAGCTGTTCTTGTTTTCCAACCCGTTTAAAAACTCTGAAAGGAGGTCATCGAGAAGCGAAATAATTTGCTATTTTTTTCTAATTCGCTTAAAGGCCAAAAAATTTTGAAAATGATTGAGAAGTATTAACGAAGAATTACTTAACTATTCTTTTTTTCTGATTCGCTCAAAGTCTAGGAATTTTAGATTTTAGATAATTGAAGAACGTGAACAAAATAACTATTCTTCAAGCCACTTGAAGACCTAGAAATGTTGAAGATAGTCGAAAAATATTAATGAAGAAATATAATTAGCTATTCTTTTCTATTCCGCTTGAAGAATGTCGGAGATAATCGACAAATGTTAATTATTAGAACGAATTAAATTAAAGGCCAGCGCTAGGCAACAAGCACAGATTTATGCGATACAAAATTATGTGTGTACAAAGTGCTATCAAGAAATTCCTAAACTTCATCACTAAACAAAAGTACATCGTTCCTAGATCTTATTCACCTTCGGAGCAGGTCCCTTTATGAATGCACATCCCAGCGTTTTTGCCACAAGTGGAATACGTCCTGCAAATTCTTTTTGACGAGTACGTTGAGCGCCGCCGGCTGATTCAGTTTGGATCATCTCTACGGTGTCAAATCTTTACCCTTTTATCCTGGAGAAAAGAAAGAAGTCGGGCGGTGTTAAATCTGGCGAGTGTGGAGGACGAGGGACACTTTTTTTCCGCGAAAAACTACAAGCGGTGTGTGGTCGTGCCGTTGGTCACGACAAAGAATTCAATTCTTTATGCGCTACTTCTCTCGACGTTTTCTCCTCGTATTTTCCCTCGGCTGCTTTAGAACTTTGCGATAAAACTCGGCTCGCTCATCGTTTGACGAGGGGGAACAAACTCCTTATGTGTAATCTCGTCAATATAAAAAAATCGCAGGCGATGCTCGACATTCATCAGACAGAGCTTCCGGGGCGTATTACATTTTTCGTATCGGCGTGTGCGCTCCCAAGAGAACTATTTTGAAGGTAACGGTGGTGAATGAGATCCAGGTGTTTTATTTAGGCCCGGTTTTTCGTTTTCCGCTTAACCGAAAGTTAGTCGGCTCTCCAGCTTGGAAAAAGGTCGACTAACCTCTGGTTAATAATTAACCAGAAAAACTTAGTGATAAATTTCGGGAACCTTTGGGTAGCACTTCATATACATTTCTAATTTTTTAATTTAAATTGGCATTAATTTCGGAAATAGCGTTGACATTTCCATGCTGTTTTCTTTTACTTGTTTAGCGATTACCGTGAAATATTAGAATTTATTAAGTTTATGTCCAGGTTCAAACGCTGGTTGAGGTGATTTTTTCGCAATAAATTTTCTCCAATTAAAATTGCCAGTTGTGTCGGTTATCAATTTTCCTACACTGTTATTAAGTTTATGTCAAATCGAATGTCATCTATTAAGTTAGACACTTTAGGTTCGATTTTTGTAAAATACCACTTAAAAAATGCCATTTCCATACTTCAAGCAACTACTGATTCAGCTGCACGGTTGTATCTCTATGTAACACGGTATCTGTATCTTTTGAAAGCTTTGAAGCTATTCCCATACTTCAAGCAATGATTAAAAACGCTGCGCGATTGTATCTACAAAATTAACACCACCGTATAATGTATACGACGTACACTGTCTATTCTATTCATATCTGTTTTAATGAGTCGCGCTAATGGACCAATGTACCGTTTAGAGTCTCTCACTGACACCGGTGAGGCCGCGGCCAGGTCACGCGGCCTCTGGGGGACCGACGACAGCGGGAATCAACGACGACAGCGATGTCGAGAGCGTGAAGAGTTACAGCAGCGCTTGCAGCACAGCGAGCGCCTGCGAGCATGCGTCCTTCGCATTGAACGGCACCACCTGGTCTGGTCGGTCGCGAAAATATGTCGTGCACTGCTCAAATTATGCCGGCGACAACGAACAGTACCTGACGCCTACTCAGAGAGCGGCTAAACAAGTCCGGAAGTTTCAGGTAATCGAGTTACCGCTATGTAAGAGCTGCAGATCTCATTCGTTATCAGTTAAGCGCAATATGCGAGATATATTTTATACTTCGAATTGACGCTGAGCCAACGAGATTTAAATCGCGTTTAGCGCGTACGCTCAAAATTACCCAGTTGTTAATATCTCTATCTCGGTTATGTCCAGGCTTTGTTGAAGGAAGCGCGCAAGGAGATAGATGAGAAGGACCGGGAGATCTTGCGTTTGACGAAAGAGGTTGTAGAGTTGAGGTTGTACAAGGCCTCTCTGAACAGTCCGGATGAGCGAACGGATAGCAGCGACGCTCTCACCGTGCGCGAGAACAATCCCTTCTCGCCAGAGTCGCCGAGCAAGGATCTTCCTGATGAAGTCGCCGCGGAGAAATCCATCGCCAGCCCGGAAACGCCGGAAAAGCGCACGCATACGGATCTCCCCTCGTCATTAGCTGATTCCGGACACTTCGAAGATGGTTCCGTCCATTCGAAAGACTCCGTGTGCCTGCCTGAGTCGCAGCCGGAGATTACTGTCAGCGCGACAACGTGCGCTAATACCGTATCCGACGATGTTGTTTCTGACACAAATCCTGTGACGCCGACGAGTGCAGAACGAGATGAAGAGAGACGTCGATTAGTTAGTCATTACGAAGGTAGAATCGAGGATATGCATAGGCGGCATGTTGATGAACTGCAGCAACTGAAACAGAAGCACAACGACAAGGTCAGTAGAGTCTTTCATTTGACTGGTTATAACTTTTTCGTTCTTCGTTCTCCTTAAAAAAAAAGAAGAAACTTATTTTTCATATTGGCAACATGTTTGTAGGTGGAGAGCTTGTTGAATCAATTGTCTGAAGTAAACACTCGTTACTGCGAGATGCGGCCGGCTATGGATATCGCCGAGACTCGCGCGCGTGAATTAGAAGTGGAATTAGAGGCTGTGAAGACTGAGCTTAATGAGCAGAAGACGCTTTTAAATGAGCAGGAGGAAAGAAATAAGCAAATGTACCTGAAAATGTATGCCAAAGGTCAAGAAGCCGCGCGCATTGAACAAGCCGATCAAGTATGATAATTCATATCGAAGATAAATGTAAAGATGAAAAACATAAGTAAGACTCAACACTGAATACTTTTCATAAAATTGCAGATATTCGTGCAAGCACATCAATCACCATCTAAAGTCACCGTTGCAGAATTGCTTCAACAGCTAACTGTTACACAAGCTGAGTTAGAGAATATTAAGGTGAGATGTGATTTAATTATAATCTACTACTCTAAATTCTGCGTTGACCAATATAGCAATACAGCGACATAGCAGATTGACCGAAAATTTTATTTGTTTTCTGCAAGGATGAGGGATTTTCAATTACTATATTTTTAAATAGAAATCTTCTAATATTTAACATAGAATCATTATTAAGATTGTCATGAGTCTCAACCGGTTATTAATGCCACAGTCTTTTTCAGCGAATTCATCAGTTTCGTTGTCAGCAACGAGCTTTCATTATATTAGACCGCATTTGCACACAATGAGTCTCTTATTAGTTCGACATTTGCATTCTTCTTTTCCTTGCTTAATCATTAGTATGTCTCTTATTCTCTTTCTGGATGTGTTCTATCTAACTAAAGTATAACGAAATTCGTGTAATGACTGATTTTCTCACGATTAAGAGAGAGAGAGCGAGATTTGCTAGCGATTAATTATGCTAACACAATAACACGCCTAATAAAGTGAATCCCAGGCGCGGTTTTTTTTACGCAGTCCAACCAGCTTTTACATTTGCGTCGCAGGCATTGTTTGTTCATTTCTCACATTTATCATACTTATTACACTTGTGAGGCGTGTACATCACATTTCGAGCATCCTTGTAGTTCACAATACTCTTGTACTAACGATGTACCACTTTTTTTGGTCGCCGCTCACACTCCAGGACACAAGCTACTCGCCTGAACCTCACATTTCAGCCGAACGTAGCCAAAGTTTATTAAGCGCTCAGGAGGCTGTTTCTCTCTGGGTCCTTGGCACACGTAAGGTCTGTATCTTGACTCGGCTGCGACGTGATGACGCAATTCTCATCCACTTTTTATCGCCCATAAAGTAGCTGTTGTTCGCATATACGATGCACCGGATTCTATCGATGTTTTACTGCGTCAAGAGCTGATATTCCGACACACAAACGTATAATGTTTGTTACAGCTTATATCTCTTATAAATTTCGTAATTAGATAAATAATTGGAGATCTTTTGTGTGATTTATATGAGTAATTTATTATTTTGTAATTTATTGATTGCGTGTTATCTCAGAGTGATCGTCATTCGTTCATAAATGAAAGAAGTGACGTTAACTTTGGGGCAAACTTTTGTACGTAATTGCCGCAGGGCGATCAGTTCTTGAATAGACAAGGGCGTGTGGAAAAAGAGCACGATTGCGCTCCTCGTATCTTTCTTTCCTCTACATTCGCGTTAGTGAATGCTTGCTGCAACAATTGCATGCGGATTATGAAGCACAAACGTAGGTGGTTTATACTTCTCTATACGTTGCTCTTAGATCGGGCGATGTTATCCAGTGCACTTGGAAGAAACAGCCTCTTATATCTTCGGGCAATGTAAGTCTTGCACGAGCTTACAGCAATGCACGCTTTCACCATACTTTCACTGTATTGCACACAAGACATGTATATATTTGAATCCAGATAGATTTATTTAATTCCACTTTATATTAATGCATCAAAATGTAATATTGTGTCGTGTCTCTCTATGAAGCTAATATATATACATATATAGGCAATTTTTAATTAAATATATATACTATTAATTATTAAAACTTAGATATCTATGTAATTATTAAATCTTGAAAATAGAACATATGTCTGAATTCAAATTTGATAAAACATAATCATATGTACAAATAATTCAACACTTTCCAATTGTATTTTATTAATGTCTCGATACTTTAACTTTGTTCTTTAATGAGTGTGCTATTCTGTTTTTTTTTATCAGGCAATGTATAGGCGTATTGTAGAGGCGAGAAGCAGCCAGGGTACTCTCGACCCAGAAATTACCCTGCAGTTCCTTAAGTCGGCGATCTACTATTTCCTAACTGATAAGGAGAATCATCACGGTCACTTAAATGCTATTGAAAGTATCTTAGGCTTCACGGACGCAGAGAGGCACAACATCGATAGGTACTATCGAACGGCAAGAAAATAATATTTTCTAAAAATTTTCAATATAAAAAGTTATATCATTATTGACGACTGGTATTATATTATCCGACTTAATACTTCAAAGTATGTTTAGTTCTTTGGTTTCTTTTAAAGACATACGTTTTAATGTGTTGAAAAAATTATTTTGAATAGTTTTAAATTGTTGGATGTCTGAAATATATATTATAAAAGCGACTTGCTTGTCTCATAAAAATTGCTAGCTAACCCATAAAAATATATGGCACGTAATTTGTAAATAGCTAGCAATTTTATGAGATTGCTTTTACTTGTACATTTGAAGTTCTGGGATTTATCAGCATAAATTATATACATATAGTTACGACTAAATTTGTTTTTGACTATATGTATGTAATATCAGTGCTCTGCGATGGCCATGTATTACAAATTAATATCATGCGTATCGCACGACTTGTATGCTCTAAATTAGTAGATACATATTCTAGTTACATTTCGTAAAAAGATATATTACCTAGTTATTGCAAATCATATTTCGCTCCTTTGATGATTATTAAACGTGCATTGCATTATAAATAAAATATCCCAAAATTGAGCAAGAAATATATATATGACAAATTGTGCTAGAAGAATTCTAAATTGAGAATTTATCTATACGTAATTATTTGAAATGCATGCCCATCCTTATACAAATAAAAGTTGAATATATATCTTTCTCGTTATCACGCGGAGTTTTCCGAAAATAGACAAGTTTATTTATATATATTTATCTGTTATAAATAAAATATATATCTATATATACACATACAGATGTATGTATGTACAACACATGCATATGTATATTCAGGATAAGTTTTGTCTATCTTTCAAATTTTTAAATATGTACAAGAAGATGATTTTGAAGTAAATGATCAATGAAAGAGAAATCATTTAATTGTACATATGTAGTGATAACTGAATCATACTGTATATATTATCTATATCAAAGTCTGGTGACATGACGTCCAGATAAGGTAATAATATGGAGACTGAAGGATATATCTTGCCTTTTTATCTGCTCGTAGCTTCAAGTTAAGTAGGCCGTGCTAGACTAGGCCTGCTTATACAAGTGCAACTATTAGTGGACATCAAAATAAGCACACTTCCTATAATCTTATAAGTATTCATTTTTTACAAAATACTTTCGTGTATTTTAATTACAACCAAAGACAATTAATTTTTGTGAATGAATATTTGATTATAATCACGTTAATACTTGGCACCAACTATCGGATTACAGTTACCTTTTGTTATCGAAGCTCTGAAACTTGTTCAGCAATAAGAATATCATAAAATTAGACGTAAGTAATTTTCTTTTTGTCTTTACCCTTATAAATCTTTATGTTACGCGTTACATTATTTTTGGTTTACAATCGCAGTGATAAAACGATAATTTCTTTAGCACTAAGATTTTTGTAATTTTGAATGAAATTAGTCTGAAAAAAGGGTATATATCTAAGGTGCCAACAAGTACGAACGTTTATAGCACATACAGATCGCTTCTTGAAGCAACATTCTCCTAATAAATGTTTTATAACTCAAGAAACATAAATATATTGGTAGTAATACCTACAATATCAAAACGTCCAATGTCCAAGAAATGAATATAGTTTCGTATACAATATGTAAATGCGATTACACATTTCTCTGAGGTGGTAGACAATTCATTTTATAACGAAGTTCCTTTTATGTGAGTGTTATAATGCTAGGCCTAAGATCGATTACAGCTAATAAAGCTCGACTGTCATTCCGTCGAAAATAATGACAAAAATGCTAAAATAAGTATTTGACATTTTTCAAATAGAACATTGTGTTATTTTGACTCCGAGCTACGGTTTCCCCGCAAATTTAATAATTATGTATAATAGTAAATGTTATTCGGTTTACCTGTATCTTACTTTTATATACAGCCTGATGAGAAACATTCTATCTAATTAATTTATCCACATACTCGTCAATGTTTCGATTGTATCATGCAAGTGGGAAAAAAATAAAAATTCCAAAGCTTTATATTATTTTTTCCTCATTCCAAAATTACGCAGATCTCCATAGATTATATGTGCAGAGTGGATAGCGCGGAAGTATCGTGATACAAGGTTTAGATGTATCGCTAAACAATTTTTTTTTATAATTATTTACTAAGTCATATAGTACAAAATACATATGGAATCACTTCCTTCCTGTTATGATAATACCATCGTATTTTTGTTGGAACCATTTAATAGCGTCTTCTTTGGTAAGTCGATGTTGAAAACCGACCTTACCAGTTTTTCTTCTTCTGTGGGCTACGTTGAATCCTGTAAATTAAACGCGCATTTCATAATTTCTATTTATGCTGTTACTATATTTACGTGATATACATATGTAATATTTAAATATTTAATTAAAGTGTAGTCTCAATCAAGTAACACACCCAGTAAAATGAAGTGGGCATGGGTTGCAAATATGAAACATTTTCTCTAGCACATTTTAATATATAGACAACACTATAAAACAAGGATATCTATGATGCAAAATGTGCAACATCATCTTATGTTCAATATACAATTAAAATCAAGTCGTAATGTAGTTATTACTAACCGGGACGTCCGAGTACAACGTAGAAGTCTAAACCGTATATACCAATACTGGGATCATACTTAATTCCCAGGTCAATGTGCTCTTGAATACCAAAACCAAAATTGCCAGTGCAAGAAAAGTTGTCCTTTTTCAATTCGTATTCGCGCACCTGTAATTAAGTAATAGATTAGAATCACAACGCAAGTGCAAATCACACATGTAAAAACGTTTTAATTCACCTTCAAGCCGCGTTCCAGAATCTCCTCAGCTTTCGCGCCACGTACAGTGCAATGTACAGCGATCTTTTCATTACGACGAATACCGAACGAACGTACCGTGTACCGCGCCTTGGAAAAGACTGGCTGCTGACCGGTCAGTTGTTCCAGAACCTGTATAAAAAATGATTTAACGTTTAAAGGCTCACTTGTTAGAAATACTTTCACTGAAACAAAAGCATGCTTAGAAAATCTACCTTGGCAGCACGCGTTAGTCTATCACCGGATTCGCCCACGCAAATGTTCAGGCATAATTTCCGGATTTTGACTTCACGCATTATGTTCTTAGACGCATCCTTCGGCTCCTTCTTCACCTTCTTGTCGGTTTTCTTCCCGACTCTTTTCTCGGGCGCTTTCTTTACATCCTGCCATTAAAATAAGTATTAAGCATACGTTAAAATTCTTAAGTCTTAGAAATCTACTAATTTACAGGCATAAAACTTTGTTTCACAATTGGAGAACTTCTGCAATTATTGTTTCCTCTAGGACGTACTCTCTAGATTATCAATCTTTATTTGATTGTAAATCATCAAAAGAGAACAACGAAAATTGAGATGTAATGCAAAGTACAACCCACGCGAGTAACGTGGTAGCACATCTACAGAATTCATTATTAACCTATAAATCAGTACTTTCAATCTATTCGGTGCTGATAACACACAGTGTTAATAATCAATAAATCATCTATACATTCGTCAAACGTGAAAATCTTTCAGAACAAATAAACCAAGATACTTTATCACAAATGTAATAATAAAATAGATATATGCCAATGCCGATTAAAAACAAGCGTGCGCTCTCGACCGCTTCGCAGTGACATTTTCGAACATAATCGTTCGAATCGACAAAAAATAAACGTAATCGATAATTTCTGACAGCATCAGTTATTTCTTTGTTATAATAATATTTAATGGAGTTTAGTGATGTAAGAGATACATGAAAGTTAAAATAAGCGTTTTTAAGATATGAGACGTAAACTCACCGCCATGTTGAGGAAAAGAGGAACGAGGAACCCTTCATGAGGCAAGCTTCTGGCTTACGTGCAGCAGGGTTGCCAGCAATGCAGTTTTCTCTCACGCATGCGTGTTGAAAATTGACATGCGAACTATAAGTCCCAGTCTACAATAGAGATTTAAGCCCTAAGCCTTAAGAAATTGACTAATCACAGTCGCGCATTCTACTCATACTTGACCGTGATTGGCCAATTTCTTAAAGCTTAGGGCTTAAATCATCTATTGTAGACTGGGACTAAAGGCCTATGTCCACGGTACTAGAACCAGAGAACTTAAACCAGTTTTCATTTGCTCACACTTGACCGGAAATGAACGTATTTTTAAATAACTCTTCTTTGCAATCGTGTGTATCTCATATGAAAACGTTTGAAGTGCCATTGAAAAGGTTTATGAGTCATTCGTTAATTAATTATTTTTTATCTGGCATTTATCCGGAATAGATAAATTAAACGTTTTTATACGAAATCGTTTGTATTTTGTATGAAGAGTAATAAAATATGATTAAAAAGGTTTATGAGTAATTCAACAACATTTTCATGAAGAATATCTATATCGCTATAGCTTCAATAAAATCGAAATATATGTATAGGATGAAGATCAAATTTGGGACCCTGTTAATCGATCTCACACGTATCATCTCAATAAATGATGAAACAATATCCAACAAAATCGATAGAATAATTTTCGGTAATTAGTTTGAATCCACCCAACGTTTACCTGACAGACACTTCCAAACCTATGTTAATTTAATTTTCATTTTCTTTGAAGGAAAATATTTGAAATACGGTCCTGCAATGCCAGTGGAAAATCAGAATTTACAAAAAAGATAGCTGAAATGTAACAATTACAAAGATAGTTTCAGAGCTCATCATTTACAGTACACGAAAATATTTTATATACATGTTAGAATAGAATGGTTGTAATAGAAAAACGAAGTCTTTGTATATTTGACAACTATTAAAATAAACAGTAACACTTCTTGTTAAAATTCTTTATGGAAAAAGCATTACAATATGTATTATTTTTTTCCAGCTATAATGATACCATCATATTTTTGCTGGAACCATTTCATGGCATCTTCTTTGGTAAGACGATGTTGAAAACCAACCTTACCGGTCTTTCTTCTTCTATGTGCTACGTTAAAACCTACAAATTAAATATATATTTAACAATATATCTAAATATCGTAATATATTTAACCGAAGTATTCACTGTCTCAATCAAATAAATGATCTCCAACAAGCGATGAAACAAAATGATACAAAAATGAAGTCGATAAAAATAAGAACCATTTTCTTTAGTGCATTTAAATATATAGGCAATATGTAATATTGAACTGAAGTATAATCTCAATCAAATAAATAATCTCGAACAAGCAATGAAACAAAATGATCAGAACAAAATTATGTCGATAAAAAATATGAAATATTTTCTTTAGTACTTTAAATATACAGGTAATATATAGGTAATAAATATATACTATCGCAAAACCAGAATGTTATATACAATATTTCTTAAGATTAATGTAGGTATTACTAACCTGGACGTCCAAGTACAACGTAGAAGTCCAAACCATAGATACCGATACTAGGATCGTACTTAATTCCCAGGTCAATGTGCTCCTGAATACCGAAACCAAAGTTTCCAGTACAAGAGAAGTTATCTTTCCTCAATTCATATTCGCGCACCTGCAATCAAACGACACGTTAGGAACATAGCACGGATACTGATCATACGTACAAAGTTCTTTAATTCACCTTCAGGCCCCGTTCTAAAATCTCTTCAGCTTTTGCGCCACGTACAGTACAATGAACAGCTATTTTTTCATTACGACGAATACCGAACGAACGCACCGTATACCGAGCTTTGGAGAATACTGGTTGCTGACCGGTCAGTTGCTCCAAGACCTGTACAAAAAATTTGTTACATTGTAAAGATTGAAGTGCCTGTGGCGAGGGTAGCGCAGAGAAATGTGCGCTGCTTAATGAACAAATAAATGAAAAGATCCGAGTTCAAGCAGACACCGCTGTTTTTTTGCGAAATCTCTCGGAGGGAAGTGGCAACTACTGAGAGAGAGTACCGTGCCACATCTTTTAGGAATTTAGGGTGTAGCCCTCCAGGTTGGAGGTTTCCTTTGGCAAGGTTTAGCAGCCTACCGTAGACGAAGTAAAACCAAATACTCAAAGTACCAGAACGAACCGGATAAAACAGGCTTTAAGTTAAACAAAAAAAGAAATTTACCTTGGCAGCACGCGTCAGTCGATCACCCGATTCGCCCACGCAGATGTTCAGACACAATTTTCGTATCTTTACTTCACGCATTATATTTTTAGATGCATCTTTCGGGTCCTTCTTCACCTTCTTACTCGCCTTCTTCCTGACCTTGTCCTCGGGCGCTGTTTTTACATCCTAATTAATTAAAGTACCACTATTAACATCCATGTCGAGTCAATTATTAACCTCTACACACAAGTACCCCATCAGTATCCAGCAACGTGAATGGAATGTATTTTTAATAAATCAGTTATATCGATATTAATCGAAAGTTAAGTATAAGTGAATCAAGAGACCTCATTGCCGAGAACAAATTTAACAACAGCAGTGACAATATGTTATACACCAGCCGATCGAAACGGACGTGAACTCTCGTCCATGTGACTTGGAGAGAACTTCAAATATAGGTGGCTTTAGGAAAAATTTAATATTCTGAATGATACGTAAAAGTTCAGTTATTTGTACGCCGTAACGATATCTAACAGAATTAAATGATACACAATATAGATTAAAAGAAAAGTCTGGAAGACTTCAAGAAACGTATACTCACCGCCATGTTGGAGAGAAGAGGAAGGCGGGGAAGGTTCACGGTCCCCGCGACAGCTGTGGAGTCCTAAATGGTCAGAGCGTACAGCACAGATATCTATATTAGATTGCTAACATGTCACATTTACTTACAATTAAAACAACGCGTCCACTGCTTTCGCGAGAAAATTAAAATGCTTCAGATTAAAATGACCTCGCGCTATGATTGGTCGAATCTGAAATTTCATAGAGTCACATTGAAATTTTATTTAATGAAATTCCAGATTTGACCAGCACACAAGGTCATTTTGATTTTCTCGCGAAAGCAGCCCAGAGAAAATGACCGTCCGGTGATGCCGCCGCTCGTTTATTAAATGAATGAATAAAATATTTATTCGCATTAAATTTATCAGCGTTACGTAATTCTTATCGAGTAAAATAATAGTCTGTATTGAAAATATCTCATTGATATTATTATCTCTTTTATTTCTTCTTTCATAAAATCTTTCGTTCGATTTTTTGGACATGTTAATGTAAAAAATAATAAAGTTACTGGTTCGTAAAAATTATCCATATTACTCTGGCGCAATTTTCACTTTATTTTACGTAATATATATTCTATATCAATTACACCAGTTTTCATAGGAAACCAGCACGAATCTACGTCAGAACGTTCCCCTTATTCATTCCGTTAAATGATTGTACATACATTAAATTTAATAATTATGATACGCTAGAGCGTTGATAATTCGTCATAACGAAGATATAATACATTATGTTCCTTATTTGAGATGGAGGGGGAGAGAGATATCTACATTTTATCTACATGTATTTTAGCATACCTTAATTGCTCTTCCACTTAGAATATTTAATTTACGTCGCATTGAATATACAATTATTTTTTTTTGCGATAAGTTCAGAGAAATTTCTTCAGAATTATTTCTCGGATAGCTGTAATTGTATCATGGGAATAAATAATCGTTGGAATGCTACGATTTTTTAAACTTCTCACTCGATGAACCTGTATCTCCCCTCGATATCCGTATGAAGCGTAGTTTGCATACAAAACATGACATTTCCACGATCATTTAAATGCTCTATTTACAGTAACGCGTGCTGCGATTTATTTTTCGGTTAGTCGCTAAGCCTCTCGAACGATCAGAGGAATGATACGGAGATGTCAGCGGCTATGCAAACGAGGTAGGATAACGACACGTTATTTTCCAATTTAATTTATTAATTTGTACGTCTATATACAAGGCTGCGTCGAGCTAAACACTCTTCTCTATAATACATTATATGTCCTCTTACGTAAAACTCAGGCCCACTTGCAGGAAACAAGGTTGCAATAAATTACCAAGTCATGCGAAAAAAATCGCTAAGGAAAATAAAAGAATGAATGCGCTTTGCCGCCCCGCTGCATTTCATTCAACTATGTACAATACAATGCTTACAAATCAACGCTAAATGCACAATCTTCTGCGTGCAAAGACTGACAATAGCATTAACGATGCCTGCTACTACTCGTCATCACCAAGCGTTCGCTAAAGGAAATAAATAAAGAAAATAAGCACCACAGCGATTTGACTTTGTGCTAAATTATTATAAAATAATGCATTATAGTACGATGCACCATTCTCAGCGTCCTCCCTGCCCTTTATATACTAGTTGTTTATATTGCATTGGCAATAACCATTTATTCTCCTCCAGTCGTTGGCTACGAACTTCGAATACACGATATTAATTTCATTAACTACCCTGCCATTATAACTTGCTTAATTTATTTTTTGCTCTCCATATCGTCGGACATAGATTTCAATCTTTAACTATGTAAGAATATGGACTGCTTTAAATAATCTGCATATTTTATAGGACAATATTGAGCTAAGTGTTCCCAAGTGTGCAGATTGTTTGGTCTATCAGATCTGCACGAAAATTTGGATATTTATCAACTAGAGATATTACTAAATAAAAAGAATAAACTAGCTGAATAGACTAAAAACTGCAGTTTTTATTCTATTATACTATATGCTTTTATAAAAACGATATTTAGATGTGTTATCGATTCTTTTGATAAAAAAAATAAATTATTAAATAGTTTGCGTGGATTTTTATATATTAATTCTCTTAATATAACGAATCTCTTGAATTACATCGCCAGATATAAATCTTTATTCTTAAACTCTTGCATCACTTAATATGATACGATGCATAATATTACAGCAATCCATAGATACATAGTCGAAGATGACACAATCGTCTTTGCTAAAATAACCTTTCATCTTCATTTGAGCTAGTAACTTACGGATCTGGCCTTCATTTATCACAAACTATCAAAAAACCCAGCCTTCTGCACTTATCCTGTTTCTATAATTCATTATAGATTTTAAAATAAAATTTAAAATGTATAATGGTTTCGTGTACTTTCACTGTACAGAGTAAATACCGCCCTTTTATATCTGTTTGTTTTAATTCATAATTTTTAAACTTAAAATATATCTATTGTATAGAGTATTTAGCAACCTGATTTATGTATCTTATTAACATTTTTTCCTCATGATTATTTACAGCGATTCATAACGTTAAGTTCAAAAATTGTTGTATATGAATACAACGAATATGTTAAAAGTATAAACAGTCAATAATACTGACGACAGGAGCATATCGTGTACTCAAGTAGTTACGCATAAACTCAAATTTTTAAATAATAAAAAAACGAGCTTTTTCTCTGCGAATACATTAAGAAATAATTCGCTGGAATTAATTGATTCGTTCTCTACCGCATTACAGACGCTACAAAATATTCACAATAAGCCACCCTTACGACCAAAAAGAAGCGAACTTATTGCTCCCAAAGCCGACTGTTTAGATTCTTTAGTTACAGGCGTCGGAACTGGCGGCTTAACTCGTCCCAGATCGGGCCTCGTCGCTTTAGCACCCGATCGTCGTTGTCGATCCGGCGACTGACCCGCTGCTCTCGAGTTAAATGCATTAGAACCGGACACGCTTGGTTCGGGCTCCTTGCTATTATCGCGTTTGCCCAGCAATGACGGCGATTTGCACGATGGAAATTCATCACTAGTGGAGGATGTTGAAGACGATGGAGATATTATCTTCTCTTGGCTGGTACTGGAGGACATCGAAGTTTTGAGGAAAGTCAATTGTGCCATTGGACTTCCAGTCGAACGACGCGTGTACAGAGCACCCTGTAGAGCTAACGGCGAGATCGACGAGCTAACCGTAGTGGCTATGATTGTGTCAATACCAATCCTCTCCAATTTCTCCACTAGACGTATTCCCGGGAGAGCTTTCTTGTCCGAACGCGAGATTGTTGACTTGGGTCTCATTTTCTTAGCTTGAACCGGTGCTGGCGGCTCGTAACTGAAAGTACGCCTCAATAATTCTGCGCCGGTACTAAGCAGTCCTAGTGTCAACGAGGCGCCGCTGTCTGGTGGTGGTGACGATGATCTTGTAGGTGACAAACTCGCATCCGGACTGTTGCATGGTGTAGCAGTCGGCGAGAAATTCCGCTCGTCGGTAGGTGTGCCTATACACGAGGGCGTGACGGCTTTGATTCCTCTTTCATTCAGCATCTTGGCTAATCCAAGCGTGGTGGAGAATGTTGAAGTTGAATTGCGGCGACTGTGCGTGCGAGGGGTGCTCATACCGGAGTTCATACCACTGTTGGGTGCTGAGGCGACACGACTGCTAACGATGCTCGGCGTCACGCTGCTGGTGGTATGATCATCCGGATGCATTACGGTGCTGTTAGTAAAGGTGTAAATGGAGCCGGTGTCTTGGAATGGTTTACCGGGATTAGTGTATTCCTCATCTTCCTCCAAATCGCTCAGTGCAAATGTTATGAGACCGAGATCCTCGAGAGCGCGGCCACCCCTAGTCTTTACGCCTGGTCTGTCCTCCAGCAGTCCACCCAGTGTTGGCGTTGCCAATCGCGACCAATGATGCAACGTCTGGGATCCCTCCATCGGTTTGATTATCTGCAGTTTCTGTGGTATACGCCAAGCATTTCCGCTATTGCCGCTGAAGCCGCTCAAGTTGCCGCTGCTGCCGGTCGACATAATGCTGTCCGGCGTGCGACAGTCAAAAGGCAAGAAGGTCGGCGGGGAATGTAATATGCCACCATCATAATCGTAACTGTAGCCGGCACCTGTACTGAGGCACGCACGCCTCGCTAATACTTCCGCGGGTGTTAGACGACGTATAGCAGCTTCTAAATCAGCAGCGCCAGGAGCACCAGGTACACCCATTCGTTGCGGCCCCCTAAAATATAGCAGAGTTTCACATTCAGATCGTATAGGAAACAGATTTATATGTTATCATAAAGAGAAAGATGGGTACACACGGGTAATCTTCCGTCTCGATGAGCAAGGATCCGTCGCTCTCACTATGACCGGTAGAATCCAAACTGGGAAATGTAGACGCTTGCGGTCGTACTTGTCCACAACTCATCCGCGGGCCAACGGAACTGCTGGATAACGTTGACGTCGTCATAGAATTTATCCTAGGAAACTGATTGGGATCCATTCCCGCGTACGTTGTTCGAGACGCGCTACGAACGGTCTCAAACACCTTCTTATAAGTTGGTCTACAAAACGAACACAATACAAAATTATTTAACTACAGTTTCAAGTCTGATAAAGGAGCGTTAGACGTAAATTTGTAACGTACATTCTGTCACCCGCGCCGATTCCAGAGTCAATACTTAATTCCGAATAAAGGGACGATTCCAGTTCCGAGGCAATAGAATCCGGTTGAGGCGCCGCGCCCATCGACGGGAACAGCGATCCACCGCGTACCGTTGGCATTCCGCGTTTCCTCTGTTTTCGTAACTGCTCTTGCGTTTCGGCTAATAAGTTCACCACCTGGCACATATATGTATATAGTTTTCGATACAGAGATTTACGAAAAGTTTACAAATTAGGGAGGCAATAATTCAGATCTTAATGTATTAATTATCGAGTTACTTGTCTATCTATAATTCTCGCGCACAAGAAATTCAACGTAATAATTGATACATTGCTTTTTCTCATACTTGTAAAAATCGTACCTCCGCATATCGTTCTTTAAATTCAGCTAGTTCAGCGGCCAGTGTATTTTGATTATCCCTAGTGATGACTAGAGTCGCTCCCACGTCATCGTGCTCCGCCATCAGCTGAGCGAGCCTAAGCTCCGTCTCAGCTAATTTTGCAGTAAGACTAATTATTTGCTCATGCTGCAATCGATTCTCATCCTTTTGCCGACAGAGCTCCTCCGCTATGCCATCCACCTCCATGTTGACGTTTGCTGTTATTTGCCAAAAGTTATTTAACAATACTTCAGTCGCGAATATCTGATGTTCATATACATACATATAATCTCGTTATCGATTTAAAAAAATGTAATTTTGTCAAAACTAACTGATTGGAGCTATATTTAATATGAAATATAAAAAATACAAGCATTTACGTAGAAAAACAAATAGATATACGATAATTTACCTAATTGCGCTGTGATGTCTTTTACAAGACGTGCCTCCTGTTCTTCAGAATTGTCCGTATCGCATACCAATTTCGTGAATTCGTTACGGAGCTGCTTATTCTCTTCTTCCAAAGAGGTAACCTTTCTCTGCAGCATCTCCAGATTAATACCGCGCAGGCCGGTTGGAGTTTCGGCCTCCGAACTAGACTCGTCCACATCGTTGGTCAGTATCTGTATCAGCTCGGTCTTCTTCAACACTTCATGGTTCAACTGGGTGATCTTCTCGTTCGCTTCCTTAAGTTCACCTTCTAACGCGTTCACTGTGGTCTCGAGCTTCTGATTGTGTGCCAGTAATTCCTTGCCGATGCGCGCTGTCAACTCCAAGTCTTTTTCTTTCTATTTAAAGAAAACCGTGACCGTTTATCTTTTGCAATTATTATAGCTGAAGGTCTTTTGCTAATGCATTGTCAAATTATCTTTAATACTATTCCTTGCAAAATATTGTATTTTTATCAATATTTCTGAAAAGAGAATGCTATATCTAAGTAAAAATTTCTAATAGCTGTCTTTAAATTGTTAAAACTGAAGAATAATTCAAGAGTGAGAATACAAAAATAAATTTCAAATACATTTCTATTATAATAACTTGAGAGAAATCCCATACATTCTTCGCCAGTGCCAATTATGTAACTGTTTACAGGTCATTTAAACGGTCATCACTTATCGGTTCGTTACGCTTTATCGATTTCGTTCCGGACGTTCCGTTAATATTTTTAGATACGGACGTTTACGATTCGTAAAACTTTAACGACGCGATATGCATAGCGCGGGCTTAGTTTCTACTGGCTCTTGCCTCCCGGCCAGGCTTACCTCCTCCAGAAGCCTTGTGACTGCCTCTATGTCATTATAGGTCTTGGTCATTTGGCTCACCCGGTTGCTACATAAGACTGTAACAGAGTGACGAGTTCGTTATTAAACTGCTGGGATAAAAAATGTATAATTAAACAGAAATAAGAACATAGCAAATATGTGTGTGCAGAGAGGCCGGACTATCACATTTAAGTCTCGAATACAATACAAGCAACGCTTTGATAGACTTCTTTTTAATCTCTTAGGCTCTTATCTTGGAAATGGAAAAACATTACAGATCACATGTTGTCGTTAGTACATAACTGTAGCTGTTACATACTATATTGCGGTCTTTCGACTCGTGATTTATACGATTGTTCTGACTTAATACTCCACTCTTATTGTTTTAATATTGGTTTTAATTTTACACCTTTAAATCACTTTTATAATGTTATTACATGCAAATACGCTAATGTTATCCAATTTTTAACGTTAGTTCCACACTCTCTCAAATATGAAACCACATAGAATCGATCGCATCGCAATGTACAATGTAATACTTTACGACTTGTAAAGCCCGCACAATCGATGTATGGGATGCAGTATCACGTTTCTTTCGTTAAACAATATTTCACGCACGATCCATTTGCGCATCGATAACACCGATTGCGACAACGGTGATTGAAAGCGGTAGAATTTCAACTAGTTCAGCTTTCGATGCGGTAGAACAGACAGAATTTCTCGCACGATGATAAAACTATATCGCGCCGAATGGAGGTAAATATCAATCTTTCTTTACTCACAATATCGCACACAATGTTGAAAATTTAATTCGTTAAAATTATACAGATTCGCATTCTCTCGCTTCGAAATGTGAAATCGTGTTACCATGAATGTATGCGTTACCATAAACGAGAGCTTTGTTTCTTCCCGGAAACGAGCTGTGCAACAGAATGATATTAGATCTTCACGCAACTATTACCGCCCCGTACTTTATTCTCGTATAATCGATCTGCCATTATTTATAATCCCCCGTGCAACGATTTCAAACGTGGGTTGTTCGAACAAATGAAACGCAAATCGAGTATTCTTTGACGAACCCATCGTTCACTTGAGTGGCAAGAAAACGGGCATGTCATCGTTAGGGCACCAAATATCGCCTAACGCCGGTTTAGCGAAACTAATCTCGATATCTGTTAACTGTGGGCAGAATTGTGTGTAAAGTAGGATAATTAGCTTATTTTATGAACAACGCCGGTATTTTTAACATAATTGTAACGATAATGACACTTTTATAAAATAACGTCGGCTGATCTAGTGACAGGGGCTTACGGGAAATAGTGTAGTTGTACTATTGCTTGTTTTCTCTTCCGAGAGTACCACGTTAGAGGGTATGAGAATCAGAGAATCGAATGATGGTATTACAATTAAACGGCAAAACACAATTGTTAACAATTGTTAACATCAGTGTTTTCTAGACAGTATCTGGCAATTTTAATAATACAGAAAATTTATTGCGAAAAATATTACCTCAGCCAGGGTTTGAGCCTGGACCTCCCCACACTCTAGGTGGGCGTCTCATCAATTCGATCACCGAGGCATGTGATAATATTAGTCGCAATAACAGTATAAAGATGTTGCCTATCTTAACGATAGCTCTCTTAAAATCGCCAATAAGTTCCCATCGATATCACTTTGCAAAATATAATTTGCTATAGTTAGGCTCATATTTTGGCCATTTTTTGCTTAACGCGGACTTGTGTGCACGTAGTCGGCTAATATTAAGAAACTTGCCTGCGATAATAAGGTTCTGATTACCTGGCGTTATCAAGGATTTTGGCGCGTATTTCATACAATTGGAACAATCGCGGTCTCGCAATGTGAGTGGGCTAAAAGTGCGCGCGAAGAGCATCGCTTTCAAAGAGCAACGTGGGAGCTTTAAACCTTCCTAAGGCTTGGCCGGGTCCACTTCGTGGAAATCGTTAGTCTCCATAAACAGCCTTGTTGCGTTCGTGATCTTCATCACGAGTTCCCGACGAAATTCCAACTTGTACACCCTTTTGACGCACACATCCACGACACGTTTCACCTGCGGCTTCCCCGGATCAACTGGTCTAGGTCTCTCCGTAACGTTACCCTACTCTCGTCGAGAGTTTCCACGAGAAAGAAATGGAAAACAAGGTCGAGCGACGAGCAACAGATGCAGCGATATTCAGCAGCTGATCATTCGTTCCGCGCAAATGAGACTCTCGTCGAAGAATCGCGGGGAGAATGGCGAGGGGACACACGATCGCGTGTCTCGCGATCGGAGGATGATACGACTCTAATGAGAGCGGCGAGAAAACGTGGCACGCGAGCGAGGGGAACGCGAAAGCGTGGAGACAGAATGAGATGCTCGCGTTGCACGAAAGAGTCTCTTGCATCCCTTCCTATCGATCGGCTTTGGCGCATCCCGTCAGCCGGCCCGGCCGGTCGTCGGAGGGCGCAGACGCCGCCCCGCGTTCACGTCCAAGGTCGCCTTCCCAAAAACTCTACTCAAAGTCACAACTCTACAGCGACGGGGAAACGGATGGGGAACGGGTTAAGCCGCAATAATTATCAATGTGCGCCGCAGATGGATTCGGAATGGAGGAAAGTCTACGAAGAACGAGGGTGGTACCCGAAAGCATTCCAGCGATCGGAGGGATCCACTTTGGTTCTTGGAAAGAAATGGATGCTTCGCTCATAGATATATCGCTTCGCGTTTCGACAAGTTTTTAACAGCTTAAAAATCTCTGCGAAATTAAATCTAATATAAAGCTAAATTAGTCAATGCTAGGCTGAATTGGTTAATACTAGGCTCTTCGTTGTTTTATCCCCTAGTGAGGATGAACTAGTTGAAGAGACAGCTCATTAAATTCTTAGGATTTGGGTGCCCAAGCAGGCACATCGAACTTAACGACTAAGGTCCGGTTTCACCGACGTTGTTTAACTTTAATCTTAGTTTAATTCACGTCTGTCTCTTTCTAAGGCAACTGGAAAGAGACAAAGAACGAATTAAGCTAAGCTCAAAGTTAAACAACGTTGGTTAAACCGGACCTAAGGGCTAGTTTCACAAACGTCGGTTAACTGCTAACCTAAGGTTAATTGATCCTCTGTCTCCTCCTAAATAATAAGATGGAAAAAGATAGGGAGTCGACTGAACCCTAGTTAACAGTGTAGTCCCGATTAACCTCATTTTGTAGCAATAAAGGTTAGACACACGCACGTATATTTTTACCTTGTGGAGAAAAATGTTTCGCAATTCAAATGTTAAATGTATATGTTTGTAAAAGTGAAATAAGACGACATAGCGGAATAGATTTGAGATTATATGCCTCGACAAGACAAATGCTTCACGGGTGTCTTCATCACGTAATTGATTTAGGAGCGATCATTTTTTTTGTATTGAAGGGACGCCTGTTTGTACCGTAACAATACTAAAGAAGCGAGACTAAATGAACTAATGGGCCACTTTCAATTCCAACGAGAGGCGCTTCGATGCCCACCACTGCATCTCGAACCGACTCTTCGTCGTCGTCTTCATGACGACGCGGTGTCTTCATGAGCGAATTACGTTAACAGACACCTTCACGGCCAATTGACCGCGATGATCGATGAACGAATTTGCAGAAAGTGCCGCGGATTCCTCGGCACGCGAGGCGAAAGATTTCCCTGACGATCAACGCGCAGTGCAAAAGGAATTAACATACACCGGGAGTATCAATGGTGTAGTTCTCGGTTTGTGAGAAAATCACATGGAAACCTGTATTTGGAATTTGTTGTGAATTCGGTTCACCAAGAGCTTGAGTTTCAATGTTAGGTTGTTACTCTCATACGTGACGTTCAAGGGAAGATTTTACCACGGAGTATTTTTTAAAGCAAAGTTTTATCTTCCCAAAATTTTTGTGTGTGTATAGACTGCATCATTTGGAGCGCACATTTAATTTTTTTACTTAAGGCTTGATATTTCTTCTTAGGCATCTCCCTCGCATGTATCTCTTTGACAGCGAGGCGAGTTCCGCAAGGAAGTGAGATCGAGAAAATTTATGAAATCGTTTGCGACCTCGTAATATTTTTATCGGAAGACAAAATACAGTTCGCAGCGCGTTTTCGACATCTCTTATAGTTCACTTTATGTGAAACGGCGCGATTAGAAGTCACGGACCGTGTAGTTAAAGTATCGCTTTAACTATCGGAAGGTTACGGCATTTTATCCTTCGCGAGAGATACGGAACGCAAGCATTATTTCGCTGGATTTAATCGAAACTACAAAGCGTCCCAAAACTGAAACTGTGAACTAATAGAAATTGATTCAGAGAAAAAAAATAGTTAAAGACGTAGAATAGAGGAAACTCTTTTTTTATACTTCGTTTCCTAAAAGAATAATTCAAGTTCTACAGGCGCTTTGTATAACTTAATAGTAAATATATTTTCTCTGTTGCATGATTTTACTGGAACTTTGCTGCGTTTCGCTGCACGCTATCGTGCATTTCTCGCAAATTAAATTACTTTAATCGACACATCCCTCGTATAATCTACGTCTTTTGGATAATTTGCTACATTTATATTACGTACTGACGAAGCAGCATATTGATTAATCAAAAAGATAATATTATTTGAAAATAAGACGCATTAGCTTGATTAAGACCCGCTTATTTTAATCGCGCAAATTCAGATAATAACAAACATTCCGTCTTTACTTATCGAAGATACCGTACGTCGAATCGCAGCCTGAAAATATCGATATGATTACCTACTAGTTATTCCGCACACGGAGGGATTTAAAACCGGTCTTGAATGTTGTTTTTTTTATTCGCAAAGGGACGACGCAAACTCGTCGACCTGGTACGATTGGAATGCAGATAAACCTTCCCCTGCCGGAAAATCATGAAGAGACACGCCACTAACGTCCTGTGTGCATTAATTCGTTCGCGCGTCATATAAAAGGAAAATTGATCCTTTCCGGAAAGTTGCACGTATTACTCAATACTTTTGCAGGAAAAATACGGTGTTAAACTAATGAATAAATATAAACTTTTCTAATTTTGCCAAACACTGACAGTATCCTTTTTAAATA